CCAATAATTTGGCGTCCGCTCGTCACGCCAAAGACCCGAGTTCTATTCCCCACATGGGTACAATGTGTGAAGCCCATTTTCTGGTGTACCACGCCGTGATATTGCTTGAATATTGCTAAAAGCAGCGTAAAACCAAACTCAGTGAGTCAACATTACCAGCTTTCGGCACGTCTTGTCCCGAGATACGATCTGGGTGGAAACCACTTGAATACCTCATTTTGTGTAATACTTTTGCTTGAATCTATGAACGGCAATGTTTTCTACCTAAATATCAATTTTGGCAGCTGACATATAATATTTGAAAGAACCAGACATCTCGGGGAGTAGGGTGGTCGCCAATAATTTGAACATGGTTTCTACATTTCCAGCGGTCGCACGTCTTCTCCCGGATACGATCAGGGTCGAAACCACTTGAATACGTCATTGTGTGTACAAATTTTGTTTGTATCTATAGACTGCAATGTTCTCTACCTAAATATCAATTTATGGAGCTGTTGGATATTATTTGAAAGAACCAGGTGGCTCGGAGTGCAGGGTGTTTTTGCCATCATTGTATCCCGCGCCAAGATGTAACGAACGCTTGTGATGTAGAAGCAATCTTAAAATTAATGAAACATTGTTAAAAAGAACGAAAAAAAGAGAAATCTGTCTTCCACATGCATTAGGCTGTTGTGTTTGGGCGTTTGAATCATATATGGTGCTGGTGTGTTTCAGCATCCTTGTTTTTCGCTGTTTTTAACAATGTTTCAATTCACTCAAACTCAAAGAATATCAAATCAGTTGCTCCACTGCATTAAGCACACAAAAAGTTGCATTTACCTTAGAGTATAAATGACCTCACCCGTTTCAGTTTATATATGACTATCAAATTTCCATTCATTTGGTGAAGGGTTGCTGGAACTGGACAGAGCATCAGCGATCACATTCTTCGCACTGTGAATGTGTCTGGTTCTGGCGACGATGTCGAGACAGTCGATGAGGTGAAAGAATCTGTTCGCTCATTGAAGCAAATTCTCTGTTGATCCCAGTCGATGTACCAAACCACAGTTGAGTTGTCCGACTGGACCAGCAATCTGAATCATCTCAGTTCTTCCACCAAATGTGTGAGGCTAAGATCACTGCCTCGAATTCTAACTCGTTTATGTGAAGGCATTTTTGGATGAATGACTACAGGCCGGCCACTTGATGATCGAGAACGTGAGCTCCCCATCCTGTGAGAGATGCATCGACGAACAGGTGATGAGAAGGTGCAAAGGACAGCATAGAGACTCCGGCGCAAACATTCCGCTCATCTAGCAATTGAATGACTGGACAAAGTGGTTTGTGAAGACGAATCAGTTCCTTGGGATTGTCGACCTGATCCATACATATATAATTATATTCTTAACATAGTTTCTATAACTTCTTTGATTGGCATTCTAGAAGTTGGGTAGATGAAGGATGAGGACTATTTTTATGGATATACAACTTCTTTATTCTGTATCGACATAGATTCTAATGCCGTTGTCAAGCAAGTGATGACTGCTCACTATTGTCTATGATATCTATCGATGTCAAGCAAGTGATCACTTGCTTGACAACTACATTAGAATTATAAAATTAAACGAGACTTACCTGTAAGTTAAAGTTTGATAATAAGAATGCAAGAGGAAGGCCGCCAGTTTCATCTTGCCTTGTTGAAGGAGTGGGTGTACTTTCAGTGGTAAATGGCTGAGTGTCAGGAGGTGCTTGGACTTGGGCAGCAATCGAGGACAGCTGATAGACAATTCGCGAAGCGAATTGAACCAGCCCTGTGTTGGCCATAGAGGTGCTATCATGAAAGCTTCTGCTGTCTCCATCTTGATTTTTTGTACTACTCGTCCAATCACACTGAATGGGCAGAAAACAATTATAACAGGTTGCCCATGATAATGTGAAAGCATCTATTGCTTCTGCTCCTGGATCTGGTGACCATGATTATGTAGCCTTGATGCGAATATGTCTCTATCAGGCACACCAAAATGTTTAGCTAATGTCCCAAACACATCAATATCCAACTTCCTTTCAGTATCATCACTTGCATTCCTAGAAAACCAATCAGCCTCCGAGTTATCAACACTAGGTAAATGTGCTGCACTTAATCATATGTTCCTCTCCTTACACCATAACCACATCTGCCTCGTAATATCATTACAAGCCTGTTTACATCCACCCATATTATTGGTATATGCCACTGCTGTGGTATTGTCCAGCTTGAGTCTAATATGGATGTTGCGGTAGGTTTTGCACAGAGACTGGAGTGTAAGCCAGGCGGCACAAATTTCCAAATAATTAATGTGTCTCTCACTTTCCATAGCTGACCACACCACTGGTGTTGAGATCGACATGAGCCCCTGCAAGGAGTCTTATAGAATCAGTAGCTTTCATGAGGGAATCTTTAATGTCCAGTTCGGATTTGTTGACTATGACACTCATGAGTGAATCTGTCAACTGGACTAAGGGAATCATGGCTTTCACCATTAACCCCTGGGTCTGTTGGGCCCTCAAGTCTCTAGACCTTGTAGCGGGTTTGGCCTGTTGCCAAATTTCTTCCTTGGCCTTTGGGACCCTCACTGCATCGCAATTCTTGGGTCTCTTGTATCTCCCCATTACCTCTTTCAATTTTCCCATGTGCGGGCTCTTCGTCATTCCCTCATTCACTGATTTGGCCAGGTCCTCTCTCAACGATTCCAAAGTATCGTCATCTTCTCCAAAGAACTCATGAAAATCTGCCATAAGAGTTAGAATGTTGTCCTCATCGGGGTTCTGATCGGTTTTGCACAGGTTTGATTAAAGAGAATCAAAGCAATCCGTCTCCGAATCGTCTCCTACAAGCCCTTCGTCGTCACTGTTTACATCACAGGCGCCACCATCTTGGTTATCCCCGAAAGTTGCATCAGCCCAACTTCGGGAATCTCCGGTGCCATCTCCACTTCCCGAAGTTTAAGCCACGATCGGTGAACTTCGGGTCTGCTAGGTACCAACCGAGACCACTTGTTAAGAAATAACTTTCCCAAAATTAGAAATTGCCAATCCAATAATTTTCTCCATAGAAGCACACTGTGCTCATTGAATGGTCATCATGAAATTCATACACTGTTCCCATGAGAAAGATGGCTGTCTATCAGTCTGATGGTCCACAGCACCTGTGGCTTCAACCCTGTCACTGACCTTCGACCCCTGAGGTTGTCCAGTGCCTGAGGGACTAGAAAGTTGTTCACAGTTTGACATAGCTAGATTAGGAGTGGTTGGACTGATCAAAGTTCCTCTCATATTGTCCATAATCTCAAAAATACTCTGTCGAGAAGTATTTTCCAAGTCAGTGCTTGGTCCTTTGTCTGACCAGGGGCCGTCTCGGTCAAAAAACAAAAGAGTCAATTTCACCACGGACACTGCGTGTCTACCTCAAAAGACTCGAGATTTATCACCACTGGGACTACACTCGTAGTTCCCACAATTTCTTCTTACAAAAAACTCTTTTATCTGAAGTGCTGAGAGATAATATAAGAGAGCGACGTAATTATTCTGAACTAAAACAAAAGCGCGAGTGTACTGAAGCAATTGCGCACGCGCACATCTCATAGGATTCCGAAAGTACGGAATAGGGAGTGGAATCTGAAACGTCGCCTATACAGAATAAAGAAGTTGTATATCCATAGAAATAGTCCTCATACTTCATAGTTTCTTAATCTTTCAAATTCTGTGTGAGAGGGTTATCAATTGACATTTACGTAGATAGCATACCAGTCTATAGATATGAACATAATTTAAAATAAATTTGAGAAATTCAAGTTGTTTTTTGACATCCTGACATCCGAATGCTTGAGATATAGGGACTATGTTGAGAATGTAGTAGAAAGCACTTCACTTGGACCTGTCGGTTTCCTTCAAATACTATGCAAAAAGGTTATAAATTGACATTTAGGTAGTTAGCATACCAGACTATAGATACAAACACAATTGAAATTTGTGAGATTCAAGTTGTTTTTGACTTCACAGTATCCTGGGGCCAAGAGAGACCAAACAACGGTAGTGATTACAAATTGTAATTAGGTAGATAGCATACCACTCTATTGATATATATTTCTTTTTGAAATAACTTTTCTACACCCAAACTGGTCTCAAGAGCATTTGAAAATTCCTGCATTTTCAAAATTAAGAGAGAAAACCAGTTTGGCGTTCTTTTAGTTTTCCCCAATGCTGGATCTAAGCACCATTTTTGAAAAGCCGCTATATTTTCACTCTCGATTGAACTTTTTGGCATCTCTCAAGTTTGTATGATATAAATTGAGAAAAAACGTCTGAAGAGGAAATTTTACTGACTGTTGCTGCAGATATGGGCCTGAATGTTGCTTCTAAGCAGATCTGGATACATCTATGGATATGCAGTCTGTACAAACCAAGGTCCAGATTCCCTTATACAATAACACAGTTTATTATGCATAATTTGTAAAAAAACTCAAAAAAACCACCTAAACAATGTCGCAAAAAGGAGGAAATTTACTGCTTTGTTTTTATTTACTATTTTTATTCTTATTTATCTAAAAAACACCTACACTGTGCTTTATTGGTTATGATTGGTTGAACTTTATAGATATCAACAAGATCTGCAGACTGCACATATGCCTGTGTTTATGTTTTCCATACAATTATAAGGAAAATGAAAAATAATAATTCAAATTTAATTCAATATGAAAAATATTATTGACTGATCAAGTATTATTGTCCAGGACTGGATCAGTCTATTGTCTAATTGGGTCTGTGATATGTGTTTTCAAAAGTTTTTTAACTCAATTTTCACTTTAGGAAATCAGCTGTAATGGTCTCATGGTAATAATATCCAAAAAGCAGAACATGTGTTGAACACTTCTAACAACACCTATGCCAAATTTCACAATTGTTTTTTACAACAGTTGAGATATTGGTAACCATTAATTATCAGTTAAAACAGATCGCACCCTAAAAGAAAACAAACACAAATAAGGAGTTCAGCAGTTTAATAAAAAAATGACCCACCCTTTGTCCCATATTTCTTCAAGTACTGATCTAAGGCAACTCCTTTATATAGAGCTGCATCTTATCACAGTTGTGTAGATCGATGGTCATGATGTTGATCACTGGATTGTCTGCTCCAGACATGGCTATTTACAGAATACCGTCATATAGCTGGGATATTGATGATTGCGGCATTAAACTAAACGCACTTACTTATATAGAGCTGACATTTTAGATTATCTGTGTACATGCAATTTACATGGAACTAATATACATATGATATACACAGGTTGTTCATTTGACGTCACTTTACACAATGTTATAAGCAACTTTCAACAATTACGTTTTCTACTCTATTGTAAGTACAAACGAATATATACCGAATCGAAAATTTTAACTATAAATTGTATATTTATAATACCTCTTCTCAGTATACTTAATGATAAATCTCAACAGCTGAGTGGAAACAAACCGAAAACAAAGTTTTCGGCCTCTCTTGAACTTTTGAAACTGATCTTTCCTTATGATTTGTACTTACCCCACAGTCGGACGGTGCGGTGCAGATTACCCGATGTCTTTCGTTGTATGTAGATGACGATCGAGTGATGTGGTGATGGTAGACTAGGAGGCCTGTTACATGTGCAATTTCTGATTGACTGCATAACTCCTATTCGTGTGATGGGTTGCTACTTCCAAAACACCTTAGCCTGCTCTGCACAAGGACTCCCAGGGAGCGGGCTCTCCCGAGTAGGTGTAGTTTTCCGCCACAACTTTTGTACAAGACAAAAGGACAGAGCTCACGCCCTGATTACCAGAAACCTCCACAGAAGAGAATCTTGCGACTCTAATCTCAGCATATCCCTGCTTCGAAACCATGCTCCAGTTCACATCCAAAGTTGAAAAGGCAACATGGCTCGGTAAGCTCAACTAGTTTTACCTCCAGTTCTGAACATCAAATGAGCATCGCTCCTTTGCATAAGCTTAGTCAAGGATGTGTTCGGCAACATAGGAGCGGGGACACATCAAAATCCACTGGAATTCGGTATTTACACTTTACTGATGTAATTGGTCGCTAGAGCAGAGGTAAGTAATCGTGAGTGTTGATTGCCTCTGCGTCAGCGTACAAGACTAGTCTCTCAGTCTATGAAGAAGTCGTTCCATGGAGACTGTACTACAATGCCCCAGTTTGTGGCTTTGAGAGGACGATCAATGCCCAAAGTGAAAGTAAAATAAAGATGAATAATGGAGCTCTATAAAACTTCCATTCGCTATATACACGGCTGAAGCATGTCATTTATCTGGATTAACGTGCTGATGACAATTGCTGCACCAAGACCAAGGGACCAAACTGGTGGAGACCCTGTGGGGCTTATTTATTAAGGAAGTTTAATTCGAACCAGGCTTACGAAAACCAGAACCGTTGGTCTAATTTAAACTGTATTAGAGAGAGCAAATCTAACTAAACGGAAGTTTAGACCAGGTCTGGAATTTTAAGATCCTACCTTGTTCGTTTCGTTGTGAAGCCAATTTCGAAATCTCAACCCACGCATGCTCAGTTTAGTTGCACACATGTTCCGCTTCACATAATATATGTGTTTACATTGTGTGCAGCAGGTGAGATCGCATGTAGAGGTGATATCGTCAGCAATGCAGAGTGAATAACTGGACAAGTGAGCAAAAGTTCTTCCTCTTAGACTGTATAGAGGACAATACCCGTGTTATTGATGGGAAACGGTGGGATGCCAGTTCTGTTAAGTCAAAGCAAGAGGCATTGGGAAGGGTTAGACTTACTAACCATGCTAGATTTGTAATCATGCATAACACAGATAAGCTGAAAGCTTTGTGGATAAGACTGAAATTATCAGCTAGAAAGGGAATGCGGGATTATGAAAGAGAACTAAAGAAAACTGGTGGATGTTCACCCCCCGAAGGATGTCAGCACTCTGACCAGCCGTGTCATGGGCATAGTACCAAAGGAATTTCAGCAACTAACTAACCCATATGATGACAATACTGAGGATGTGGAAGCGCAACTAAGCATGTTAGTAGATTAAGTATTCCATAGCACATATTACCTTAAAAATGTTGCCAGAGGTTAAGCGAATTTATGCCATCATCTCGCAATGTGTGTTAAATGTCCACCATTAAACATGTGACCTGAAAGAGGTCGTCGCATATCAACTCCATTTCACTTCACTCCATATGGTATACACAATTTCAACATTAAGTATATTCTACAAAGCAGTGTTGATTGCCTCTGCGTCAGCGTACAAGACTAGTCTCTCAGTCTATAAAGAAGTCGTTCCATGGAGACTGTACGACAATGCCCCATGGTCCTAATGTGTATCTGTTCACTGTATGTTAATAGCAAATGTTAAAGGTATAAAACAATTTGTCAGGCAGAAATTTCCATTTGCATCACAATTTTACAGGGCTTCCTGTGCTATACCAGACAAGTCCACTCTAGAAACACACATTCAGCCAATATCGGTACCTTTTGATGCCTATGCACCATACCATTCTACCTCACCAGGGGCAATCTCTCGCCACGAAGATACTGCACCAACTCCATCAACATCAACTCGAATCGGAAAATGTTATAATTCAGCTCGCTAAGGAAGAGCACGACATAAAACTACAATCTATGAAAGAAGAGCTGAATTAAAAATGGAGGTACTTCGCTTGAAGTGGAAGGCTGCAGCAATGAAAGCAAATGAATCAACTTCTGAAATTATCTGGGATCATGACAAGTCATTTACAAAGCCTGTAAATTTGTGATGCAAGTATTGAGCTCTAATGCGTAGTGTTACATGAACACATCTGAACTTTGTCTGTGTTCAAAGAGCTCATAGATTTATGTTTCTTTGTTTTTCAGAGTCCATACATTCATGATCTGCCCGAAGAAATTTTGCTTATTACATTTTTCAATTTGTCATTATATGACATTATTCATGGAGTGAGGCGCGTATGTACACGATGGGAATTTCTAATACAAGCAGACTCTGAGGTTTTAGGCACAATTCAAGAAAATTGATCTTTGGAATACACCTCTGATAGGACAGTTTTCTATGGATGGTTACTTGACAGGAGCCAAAAATGTACAACATCTGAAGTTGTATGACATTAATGTTACTTCTTTGGGATTCTTGAAACATTAAAAAAAGTTGAAAACATTTTCACTCATAGGTGACCAGCGTAACTATTACAGTGAGGCTGAAATTGTTACAGGCTTGTCTTGCAACAGCAACTTAAAGAAAATTGACATACGAAGAGCAGGATGCTTATCTACACGGGGCATCATATGTCTTGCTGAGTCAGCGCCCTGTGTGTACTGTCTGTGTATTCGTGACGCTGGTGCCAGATTTCATGCAGATGACCTGGTTTGTCTCCTAGCCAGTTACATAAACATTTGTGAGGTTCTTGTTGACGTGGAAGGCAATCATGACGACCTTGCAGCTGTACTGAAGATTTTTGTAGCAGAGTGTGTTTTGGTCAAGACATTGTAGACTTTGTGCCGAGAGTATTCCTGAATGTCCTACTCATTGCCAGTATATTAAAATGACTAGAGAACATATTGCGGCTTTGCGTCCCATTTGGGCACTCCGTAGAGCATTGCGACGGGAGAGCATCTTTCTTGACCATACAGATCCATTTGATTGTTATGATGAGTTTGAATTTCACATGTGATTTCGCTTCAATAAAGGAAATTGAAAATTTTATTATAAATTGTATATTAATATACTTATCCTATCTCACGGTATGCACCATCTCTCTTTTCTACGACCATGTGTGGAAATGTGCTGTCAGCTAAGTTGAGTTAAATCTAACTGGCCTCTGACCTCACCCCGACATCAATGCCTGTGAATCATCCACCAAAGCGTACGGCTCGCCCAAACGATCACATGACCACCTCTACCTGTCATTCTCGTCTTGGAGCTTCCAGTAATCTGTGATGTGGGGCAGGTCGGGTGGGTCCTATCGCGTGAGATAGGATAAGTATATAAATATACAATTTATTATAAAATTTTCAAATTTTTAAACTTATCCTTTCTCACGGTATGCATAATCCTACGGTTGGTAGGCCGGTCGCAGATTACCCCGTTACTACTACAACCGGGAAAAACGCATAACCCAAGGAGGCCAGGAGAAAGCACCAACTCCCGATATGCAAACTCCAAACTTGAGATGGGTTTCTTTAGGTAACCCCTTGGCTTACACAGCACAAAAACTCTAGGGAGTGGGCGCTCCCGAATTAATGTGGTTTTCAGCCGCAAAAGCAAATGACGCAGTTTGTCAAGTAGGCCCCGCGCCCCACGATTTATCAGGTGACCCCGTGAATTAAAGTCGAGGACCTTAATCTGGCCAGTCCCTGCTTCGAAACTACCCCCCACAGACACATGCTGGACGGCGGTGAAAGACGGAATAGCCCGGTTGCTCAACTAGTTTAACGTTCAGTACCAATTTCCCTAACTTACCAAAGGTGCGAAAGGACTTAGGAGCAGAACGCTTTGAAAACCACGCAGATAATCAGAAATCAACACTTCACTGACGTGATTGCCCAAAGAGTAGATGTCAGTAAGCGGAATGTCGTCCATCTCTGCATGTTGCACAAGACTTGCCTCACAGTCTATCAAGTCATAACTTATGACAGTGCTGACACGCCCTATTCCCATAGGTTAGAATGATCTAAGCCCAAGAGAAAAAAGCACCAAGATATGGATTACATCGATATCTTCTATTAGGTACATAGCAAACCGATCAAGAAAGGATTGCTTTATCTGCGAACACAGGTTGATGACAACTGCTGCGCCAGGACCAAAGGACCAAACTGATGCTGACCTTCCACATCTGTAAGCGAGGAATTCCGAAGGTAGTGCGAGGCAAAGAGGGTAACCGACTTCCAAAAACAACCCTCCATGATGGACTGGAGGGAACATTCCTATGAAGCTCATTGCTGAAATCCAAAGCCCGGGTCTCCTGAGGGTTCGCCGTCATAGGTGGAGGAAGGTCCGCATAGTCATATGCATACAGGAATGTAGATCTCATCCAAAACAACAAGGTAGTACGGGAGACTTCTGAGGCGGAGGCAGTGGATAACGGGATAAATAGTCTCATGTGAGACCTGCAGTGGTCCTTAGAGGCAGCTAGGTAAATCCATAATGCGCAAACCAGGCATAATGAAAGATCTTCAGTGTCATCTGGGCCCAAGATAGTGGACAACAGTGGGATCGTGAATGTGCGATCCGGCTGTCCTGGTAACTGATTCTTGGCAAGGAAATCCCACCGCAAACCAAGGAAAACTCTCGCATGTCTAGAGCTTCCAAACCGTACCCGAGAAACATCAAGAGCATGGACTCGGAGATACGGCAGCTGCAGCCAAGGCCAAGAGAAAAGGTCTTAAAGGAGACATGTTCGAAATCTTCTCCTCCAGATCTTCATATTCAGCTGACGTGAGATGAGCTAGTACAACAGAGATATCCCAAGCTGGAGGCCGGAACTTCCAGGATTGGTAGGGCCAATTTGAAAGACCTTAGGACAGACTGGAGTTCATGGACAGTGGAAATCTTCACACCCGAGGCCGTTGCAATAACCATGTTAAGAGCAGCCAGGTAGGTAGACAGTGTAGAACCTCTGAGTTCCCTGGCAGTTCGGAGATGCTGAAGATAATCTGCCACCGTCTGAGGGGATGCCGTAGTGGGGCATGAGATGCCCTTCTTCCTGCAGTATGCTTAAAACTTTCCCACTTGTCCTCGTAGAGTGACCTTGTAAAAGTATGATGCGCTGTTGTAATGGCAGTAGCAACCCGCTTGAATAACCTTTAGCCATTAAGGATTGATGTAGATACGCCAAACGTGCAGATGGAGCGTCAACAGGGACCAATGTAGTTTGTGGGAGTTCGAAAGAATCAGTAGATCGGGTCGATCGGGAAGCGGTACGGGATCTGGTTCGGCTAGGTCTTGAAGATTTACGAACCAACTTCTGGCCGGTCAGTAGGGCGCGACCAAAGTAGAGTCATCCTCCGTGTTGCGCACAGTTCACTAGAATGCGAGGAAGAAGGGCCACTGGCGGAAACGCGTAAGCATTCAGGTCTTCCCACGGGATGGCTAGAGCATCGAGGTCCCAAGCCAAAAGGCCCGATATCAGTGACACAAACCAAAGCAGCTGATGGTTGAACCTCGTGGTGAAGAGGTCTACTGTCGGAGAAGTCATTGGAAGGCAGAAGGTCTGAAACACCTGAGGATGTAATTTCCATTCCGTTGGAGAAGGATGACTCGATCGGGACAGGGCATCTGCGATGACATTCTTCACCCCCGGAATGCCAAAATCACCGCCCTGAACTTCCAGAATGTTGATGTGACAGGCGCGATCTATGATAGTGCAAGCCCTGCCACTTGTTGATTGAGAATATGAGCTCCTCACCGCTGTTGAGACACATCCACATACAGGTGGTGAGACGGAACAAACGGCTCTAAACAGACTCCGTCGCAAACGTTCAATTCTTCCATCCATTACTGAAAATGAGGATGGAGCTCCAGAGGTAGAGGGATCAGAGCACTGGGATCTCCCACTGTGATGTAAGTTGCCACAAAAAAGGTGTAAGGGACGAAGTTGTAGTTGACCCCTGAGGGTCAATGCCTGAACAGACGTCAAAAGGCCCAGGAGCTCCTGTCATTGGCGAAGCATCCTAGGTTGCACTGGTACCAGGAAAACCAACCGCTGTATCTTGCAGAAACAATCCCTCGGGACAAACAGTTTGTTGACCTCTGTGTCGAACACTGCTCTAATGAATTGAAGTCGGCACATAGGGACTATTTTCGATTCTGCAGGTTGATTAACCAGCCTAATTGGCGAAGAAGCTGTATCGCAAACTGCATGTGACGAAGCAAAAGGGCATGATCGTTCTGTGCCTGAATACAGTCGTCGATGTAAGCTCCGAACACTATCCCCTTGCAGGATAAGTTCTTCAATCCGGGAGTAAAGTGACAGGAGAATCCCCGATGACTGGCAGCTGGAACCCCTGGAACTTCAGCCCTGTGCGCCCTTTCGATTAGATGAACGCTTCAGACCAGTGTCGTTTCGATTGGAACAACGATTCAACCTATGAGGTGTGATTTAGTGGGTCAGGTTCCTATATCGCCGATCGGAGGTAAGATGTGACGACTCTGATTCTGAAGCATTGTGTACTTGCTTCAAAGCCGTCGCCATGGCTCATGCCATCAAGTCAAAGTCCATGTAAAGGTGAAGTTGTGCATCTTGGGAATGATTTCAAGAGACAGGTAGGTTCGGCTGCATGCCTGTGACAAAAAAGGTAGAGATGAGCAGGATAGCAGATTCTGTAGGTATCACCGAAACAGACATCAATTTCAAAGGTTAAGACACAGTGGCTGAGATAAAGAGGTTTCTTGAAAAATAGATAAATAAAGGATCTATTCGCCAAGGATAAGTACTGCGTGTGCACATTACCGAGCTGGATATGTTGCAGAACCCAACTGAATCTCCACACTGAAACAAACACTGAAAGTTCACTGAACTAGATAAAAAATCTCCTAACTGAACATAGTTCGCTGAAAGTGGGAGATTTGCCGAATGTGGAAGGTTCTCCGAATGTGAGAGGTTCGTCAAACGTATAGCCGAGAGACAGCTGAATAGGAAGGAATCGTCGACCTGGTACGATTTGTCAGTAGTCTGTTCGGGAGACATGGGTGTAGTGTTTCTGCTTATTGTCCGGTATGTGTTGTATTCTCTGGCTCTAAAAATATAGCAGCAGAAATGTATCTCCGCATGAGCAGACAGAATGATGTTGTTTATTCAACATTAGTATTAGAATGAGCCTTAATGGGAACACACTAAGTGGTAACACCACTGGACTGTGAATATTTGGCAAACAGACTTTGATGGGTTCATTGAACACGGATACAGGTGAGTCTACATCAAGGCGAAACAAGTGTCTAAAAAAGTTTGCTCAAATAAAAGTTTGGCGCTGGGACCCCACACTCTCATATTCAGCAAACAGCCGAGATGGGCTGACCGCTATCACCCGGATCGAAGGTATGAAAGGCACGTCAAAAGAAGAGAAGGTTTCCTTACATTGTTGACAATATTTTCTTTTCCTTGAAGAAGAATCTTCTAACCATGGTGGAATTATGGATTCAAAGGGAATTTCTTTTAACTTCAATTACAGCAGGCCTGCACAGCAGTGCAAAAAGAAGAGAATGATCAGACTGAGGTGTCACATGATCAGCCAGAAGGCATGCTGCATGCTTCAAAGAGGCTAGAGGCTATCCAGGAATAGGAGCAGAGGGCGTGTTCAGGCGATTGGTTCAAGGGAGGCCAAAACTTTCTTTACAGTTCATTTCCACTCAGCTGTTAACCATGAGAGAGAAAGAGTACAAACCGTAAGATAGGAAAAGTTTTAAAATTTAACTTTCTCAGGAAACAAAAGAATCTCATTGCTGAGACAGCGAGGAGACAATTCACTTTCATTTGTGTTCAATTGTGGATCAATGACTACTTTGTCATTTGGAATTTCTGATTAAACTTCAATTACAGTCGAACCCCGTTTACTCGGACCCCGTATATCCAGAAACCCCGCCTTCCGGACGATTTTTAGGTGAAACGAAACTTGCCTTCAGTAACTGTACTCGCTTAGCCGGACCCCCGCGCTTCCGGACCCGCACGGAGAAGTTTCAAACCATTCCCATAGATTTCCATTTAAAAATGATCCAGTTATCCGGACGGAAAGATCTGGGTGCATTTGCATGTGTACATGTATGTTTCACGTCAGTATTGTTTACCGGACGACTAAGTGTATTCATTGTTAATCTCTCGGCAGGCGTTTGCTGTGAATTGAGTACCCATCAAAACACTAGGGACGCGTGTTAATCTCTGGGCAGGCTTTTGCTGTGAATTGATTACTTACCCATCAAAACACTAGGGACGCGTGTTACTTCAGTTGTGGCAGGTGTGAGAACATCACATCAGTAACAAAAACACATGTTAATTAGGATTAGGATTAAGCTGAGCCGCGGAATTTGATGCAGCAGTTACCACGAAGTGACGGCTACGAAGTCCCAACTGCTGAACAGTACGTTGATGAAGATACTGTCGTGGAAACTGGCCATGAGCTAACTGATGAAAAAATCATCAACAGAGTGCAGCGACCGACAGACGAACAGTCAGATGATGATGATGAACAACAAGCAGTTGTTATGCTAACAGTCTGTTGACCTTCTCAGAATGTATTGGAGACGAAGGTTCAGTGAATTTATTGATGGACTTGGTGAAGTGATTTGAAGAAATAAAACCAAGGAAGCAGACACCTATCACAGACTTTTTAAGGAAATCATGTGCTACATGTGATATGTGATATCGAGTCAAGTAAGATGTGCTATGTAAAATGTATAACGTGAATCAACGTGCTGAAAGATAGTTTATTGGTGTGATATTGAATATGGTATTGTTATGATTATATGTTTTTGACTATTGACTTATTGATATACATATATGAATAAATTTTCAATATACATTGTCAATGCGTTTTGCTTGTTTGATCCAGTTAACCGCACGCCTCGCTATCTGGACGATTTCCGAGTGTAACCAAAATGTCCGGATAAACGGGGTTCGACTGTACTTCAAATTACCAGTTTCAGGGCAGCACTAAGTAGGTATGTTTTGGAGACTTACAGTTGAGATCAATCATGCCAAGTTTAGGCCTATTGACCAAGTAGCTTCAGAAGATGTTGACAATGTGGGCAACTTAATAAACAAGCATAACCTTAGACCTTACAAACCCTAACAGGAATAATCACTGGTGGCATATAAAATGAAGACTTTATCTTATTCACTGAAATTGCATGAATTCAGTTTTTGACTGTCTAAATCTGTTCACAGTGATGATCCACAACCCAGCAGTAAGCAAGTGCTGTTACATCTTACACCATGTCAGCCATATTTCAGCTACATGGCAAACAGCCCAGGAGGTGGAAACAGACAACAGACAATGGATGCTCTCCAGTTGAACTACTGGTAATGTGCTCAAAATAAAAAATACAAGGATTACTTTGTGTGATGCAGAGATATTTTTCCAATAAAAAAATTAAAGTTCATTTTGTATATAAAGAATTCGCAAAATATTTGGGCAATTGCATTGTTCTGCTTCATTTGCTTGCTTTTTCAACTTGTGATCCTGCCACAGCCAGAACCTTGTCCCCTGAGGCTGAAATACAAAAGCAGCCATAAGACTCATGATCATAAAGATTGTGCCATAGTGCACTTAAGCTCACCCACAACTGTATATATTAACAAAGACATATTTCACCACTGATATTACAATATCAAAATATAGTTTCAGTAAGTGTAACCAAAAAAGGGGCATGTAAAATGTCTAGGTCTTTTCAGGATGAGAAAAAACAAATTACACCTGTCATTCTGAAAACCATATACTTGCTAAAATGTTACATATCAAATTTCATAATAAATATGTAGAAACACATGGAATATTTGGTCAGTAACAGTTTTAGGTAATATTAAAAATGAAACTATTGATAAACAGAGTACAAATATCAAATATGAACACCATATTTTCATGAATGGTTACCATAGTCTCAATATGCACAACAATATATCTGAAACAACAAATGTGGCACTAGTCAAAGCATACACAAACTAATAGTATTATTATGTCTGATGAACTATGATATTATCCTTACACATGCTTGAAATTTTCAATAATTTCAAACTGATTGGAGACTGCAATACTATGAAGGTTGTTAACAGAACTTGGTTGCATGGTAAATACCCCTACCTATCCTGTCCAACCAGAAGCTGACAAATCCCCATTCCACTGTATCATTATATTATAAATATTCCACTTTTTCCACACAACCATAATTAAGCATCATACATTTTTACCTTAAAAAATGACATATATGATCTATATTTCATGGTTAATGGGAAGTTTGGTAAGTACCATCACTGAGCTTCTGCACATATTGAAGACTAATACAATTTGTTTATATATGTACTGGTTTTTTTAAAGGGAAAAACATGTGTTGGGCCAGTGTTAGAACAAATAAAACTTGCAGAAAATATAGCATTAGTGACAAGAACCAACCTGAATTGAAACTTAAATTAAGAGTTCCAATGTTAGTGAAGTCAACATATATGCAGTATCTTGTAACAATATTCAGATGGTTTCATGTTTGATGAAGCCTATTAGAAGGTTGACAAGGACGTGAGGTATGAAGTTTGTATGTTTCGATTCCCCATTAGTCTACTATTTAGTCATAGCTTCCATATTCCATTTGCCACTTCAAAGTGTCATTTCTTTTCCTGTAAATATATATATATGTCGGTATTATGTGTGGTTCTCAGATTTACACAGACAAACAATATGTTGACCAAGGTTCAAACAAGCAATATTAAAGCATGATATTGCAAACACAAATTCTATTGTGCTTGAAACAGATTCCCCAATAAAATATTCTCCTTTGAAGACTGCAGGAGTTTGTTTTAATTGATTTACTGAAATATAATTGTGGGACCATAATAATTTTTGCAAGTGTGATACATGAGAGTGTCCCTTACTACTATTTTCAGATATCTTTTTCATAAATGTTCTCTGCAGCTGTCAAAAATAACATTTTGATTCAATGTTGGCAGATGAGAGCAGGGAAACGATAACACAAATAATGGTTAATTGTACATTAGGGCTGAATATTGCCCTGATTCTGATATTGCAATATATTGCAATAATTTAAGAGATATTGCAATACATATTGTGATATTGACTGGAAGATTTCTGCCCAAGTGCGTAAATTATAAATTCATAATAAACTCTTTAAAAAAAGTAGGGGAGCCTGAACTTTCAATTTGGATAAGAAGTAAAAGCGTTAACAAATGTTTCAATGCCAGACATCTCATGAACGTACCACCATTTCTTTTTATCACCACCCCTAAACAAAACGCATGGGATGCACGTCCACAACGCAGTAGGCCCCATACATGTGCGTTGGGTGTCATTCTTTTGACGGTTTTCAAGAAGGTCGATAAATCAATGTAGACCATTAATTTTGAGAATCATCTTGCATCACACAGTTGGTAGTGTTTGTTTCTTGCCAGGTTTTTTTGTTTGAAAATGCAAATCGTACATATGCAAATTTCATGTCATACACCAATCATCTTTCAAGAGCGATTACTGTACAAACAACTATGGTCATAAGGAAGTGCAAGTGGTGATGCACTCTCTAAACATTCATTATTTTTTTATCCGATTTAACTCCCAATTTTTTTCAATCGTACATTAAAGTGAAGTTCCCCTACATTTTCTCAAGAGTATAGCTCTCTGTGTTCGACATCATTTTCTTGGTTGTTGTTACACCATACTTTCAGGCTCCCCGTCCCCATTGTGTATGGCTGTATGCCAGTGGTTTATAGATAAATAAAATGACATAGAGCCTTAATGTGGAATGTTTAATTGAAGTATAGCAACAAATATTTGCGAACATAATGATGAAGGTAATAATATAACATGATTTTCATGGTCAGTGTTGTTTGCTTTATCTTGAAGACTTTCTACATCGGCTAATGATCGGCTAATGATGATTGGTACTCAGACCAGTAGAGAGATAATCGTCAAGTTCACTACAGCGGGTGTCTTCCATTGTGAACAAGGAGGACCATGAACATGTAGTAGTTATTTGCTCTGTTTAACGTTGCATGCACAACTGAGGTATTTCAGCGACAGTTTGCTTGGGTATACACAGTGTAGGAAAGATAGCCAGTCCCAACGTCCGAGATGGGTGAATTTTGTGGAGGACGGGTTAAAAAAATATCTAGTCCGTCCTCATGTCGGGTCAATTTTAGCAAACCAATGACATATATATAATGATTATAACCTTTTTGAATATTTACTGCCGAAGGTGTTTTATTTATATTTGGAGGACAGGCTAGATTTTGGCAGGACTGGTAAAAAATTTGACCTGCCAGTCCTGTGGACAGGCTAGATTTTCTACATCTTTCCTACACTGGTATACATTAGCATGAGGAAAAGAAGTAAGATATACTTCTCCACTACATTGAGTATGAGAATTAGCAACGGAGAGGTGTCCATTCAAAAAAGCTAATTTTATAGTGAGAAGAGAAGTTTAATCTTGTCATCCTGTAAAAACATACCAATTAGTATTTGCTTTGTTCTAGTTGTGATGTGATTCCTTTATCCAGAGTGCTATAGTGATTGAACAACAAGAAAAATAGATAAAAACTGCCATTGCAGATGGCCAATACTGTATTAATGGGAAACTAAATCCGGAAATATATTTAAGGAATAAGTGTGAGAAAAATGGATGATTTCTTTCAATTCAATATCAAACAATTAAGGGGGAAACATCAACCTGATTGTTATGTATGTAGGGGTCCTAGTCAAAAGGGGATGACAAAAGGGCCCCAAAACGGAAAAGTCAAAAGGGCCGCAAGAAAGTCAAAAGGGCCACAAACCCCTAGTCAAAAGGGCTGCATCAAAAAGTCAAAGGGGCCCCATTAAAAGTTGAAAGGGCCTCAGACCCCTAGTAAAAAGGGCCCTATATATGTTTTTTAAATAGGAGCCTTTAATACAAAAATATTGTCTGTTGTTGAGTAACAACTGTGTTAGAAAATTCAAAATCACTGCTTGTACTGTCATTAAAATCAGGAATACTATCCTGAAAATCATCCGATCTTGCATTAAAATCAGCAACAATCATTCTACCATGGCTACGTGAAATGCTCGAATTTGATTGGTCAATCAATAAAATCAGACGGTATCAATTTGGATTGAAAATGCGTCTGATTTCACAGCGCTTCACTGTGCACGTATACAACACTGCCGCACTACTTCAGCTTGGCCACCAACATGACTACTATCAACACAACAGACGTGATGGAAATGCTGATGAAACATTTATTAAAACTCGAAAAATACAATTATACGATTTTTCCTCCACAATTATTAGGGAACCTCACTATCATAATTATTACCTTCTATTATAAAAATATTCAAACTCAATTACAATACACAGCCCCAAACATAAACAAACAATATCTAACATATAAATCAGAAACCTTGTAAAAATACATCCCTATCTATCCATATTTGTGTGGCAAAACGTTCGTAAACATTTACCTACCTGGTAAATGGTATATTTGTTTCCGTTTAGAATGAGAAATTCGCAAGATAACGGTCAGGCGAAACACAAAATTTAGGCCACTCATACTCCATCTGACATCATGTCATGTTGCATCGTTCAAAATGTCAAAAATTGAACCACGAGAATTCTGCTCTCTGCCACCTTCCCCGCAAGGCTGTCACTGCTATGTTTGTACACTTGAAAAGCTTGGCCACAATCCGGTCCCAAATGTTGAGAACAATGTTCCAAGGAATCCCAAGTTAGTCGCATGTACACAAAGCAGCACTGTCACTCTTTCGTCGCATGCCAGGGTGGAGGCACGTACGTGAAATCATGATCGACACTCGCCGGTCATAAAATCAACAGTCTTTGATGAGTTACAGGTCATAGGTCGATCAGAAAAGGATGTATTCTTCGATTCTGCAGGGTTCATGTTCGACAGTCAGTCAAGTATTTTCCACTGTCACTTCGAATTTCAAATGTAAACACTGATCTCGTCCGCCATTTCAAACTGTTGCATAACTGTCTACTTCCAAGAAAATAAGTAGGTCAGACGATTCCATTATAGTGTGGCCAGGGGGATACAGTAACACGGCACATAAAACAATAGGATGGTTTCGGTCGTGTGGAGTTATGATTATGAAAACCAAGCTCTTAGCTGTTACATTATTGCATTGAATAAACAGTAGTTTGTTTTCTTTGGACAGAATATTTTTTATGTTGCAATTTTAACAAAAATACGAACGGCACCTACCACTCCCTTCACAGACGAGTTCAATTCGCCTCTCGTCCCATGCCGGATTACGCAGGACGAGGAAGTTCGATGTTAAATCGGTTATGGTAGAATGGAGATAAACGTACTGTGTTTGGAAATTAGATGAATGTTAGACCGAATTGATAGTCTCTAAATTAATCATTTGAAACCTCACGCTACGCGTTCGGCTTCAAATGAAATTTAGACACTATCAATTTGGTCTAACATTCATCTAATTTCCAAACACAGTACGTTTATCTCCTAAATATAACTGGGTCGGAGGTAAAACATTCAAGGTTT